CACACACAAATTCTATAGAAGGATTTTGAGGAAAATTGAAAAATACGATTGACCTCAAAATGATCTCATTTACAGTCATTTGAATGAATATGTGTACAGAATGTGGTGTGACGTTTCTATTGATGCTTCTATGCTGAACTGGGAGATGTTTCTGTCACATGTTAGAGAAAGATAGCCTATGTACTAGTTTTATGCAGATTTTATGTTTTTTTCCATAAATGTACGTTTTCCTTTATCGAAATTCCCTCTTTCATGTGATTGGTCCATTGAAGGTCGTCCACTGATTGCTAGTTAGTGTTGCTTAAAGGTTCACTTTGCCCATCTTTAGATTACACTTGTTATTATTATAATCAATAAACCATAATACCCATAATGCGACCTAGTTAACTATGAGGTATACAAAGCTACTTTTCTATTGGAAACTATTCTGATCGCTAATCACAATGTCACTTAATGTGAGAAGAATACTAACGTTGATCAAAACTTAGAGGAGGGGAAGTCAAGGATGGTTTTACTTTTTGCAATAGTAGTCAGAACACTTGACTGTGATGGTAAATGTACACGGTTTAGATGACCCTGACAAAGAGTGCATTCAAATAATAAGTTTAAAACGATAGCGATCTTCATGAACAGCGGGAAACAGGAAAGTTGATATGTGTGCTCAATAATTGTGACGATGAACAAAAGTGAGTGATCTAAGTAGTGTAGTAGTGTTCAGCAAACAGTTCCTGTCAGAGTAGATTTTCTACGGATTGCATAAGAGTTATGGATTTGTTGAAAAGCAAAGAGGGCCGGATGGAAATATTACCCTACTGAATCAATTTTATTGCTCAATGTATCCATTTAACTAGTCTAACTGCCACATGCACCTCACTATTGAATTTGTTGGTTTCATACATAAATCTCCATAATCAACAAGAAAATTCATCATATTCAGTTCCAGTAATGAAAAACAACCCGGTACCTTCACTCTTCTTTTTATTTGAATACGTATTCTTCAGCCAACTTTTCTTTCCCTTTTCCTTTAATCTAATTTCACTTGTTTTTTTGTTACTATCGTTCGAGGTTAACTCATCACTGCGCTGCATTAATTGTTAGTTACTTATCACTTACTAATCCATCTTTTGTCTCTCTTACGCAACTCCTTTTCGACTGTATCCAAATATTTGTGACTCTTCTTTGCTTACGTTTTGTTAGAACTTGAATCCATTTGTAATGGAAATGCTCTCCTGAATGATCTAATCACAATATTGATACTTACTTGGATGTTCCAACCAATTCCGTATTTATTGTCCATTTTTCTACTAGACTGTACATCGTTGTTCTGACGTCTGTTAGTTATCTAATTTTGTTGCTTTTTCTTGTGGTTTTGTGATGTTTACATTGAAAATGTATTGTTTTACGACCGTGAGCTTGTTTGAGTAAGTGGAGGTCATACTGACGTTGCACTGCCTATGAGAATTTTTTCTGTGTGTGATTCTCGCGGACAGAGTTTTGATTCCACCTTATCTGGTTATATTCTGTTTGATTCTGAGGCATTTCTACGATAGATCTACTTAAAAAATTTGAATATAGCAAAGATGACTACATTGCAAAGATGAAGACTGCGTTAAATGACCCATTGAGGTTTGAAGTTGACAACTGCGAGAAAGGTAGGACAGATGCAGTTGAAAAACTTTTCAAAAAAGTATTGAGAGATCCTCTAAAGAAGACATTCATTGACAACAACACCTACAGAAATTTGAAACCCTGAGGATCCCGCTTGTCACACATGTATGGCTTTCCAAAGATACATAGAAAACAAGTCCTACTGAGAACTATACTTTCGATGATCAACTCGCCCCAACATAAGGTTCATGTCGGCTTGTGAAAAAGTTAGAACCTATTCGTCAACAGCTATCCATGCACACCATGAAAGACTCATTAAATTTTTCTGAGGATGTAAAACACATGAACGTTTTAAATAAGTTCATGGTGTTATTTGATGCAACCTCGTTCACAATGATACCAGTCATTGTTATGGAAAGTTCCCCTTCCTTGACACGTCCATGAAACGCCTAGAAGATGGTAGTCATCAGAAGTCAATTTACCGAAAGTCTACATGGAAGGGACAATAGTTTTGGTCCAAATAGCTTTAAACATGAACTAGTCAAATTTTTATACTATAGACGTAAGAGATTATGCTTTATAGAGAAATTAGAGGGCGAATTGTGTTTCCCGAAAAGATGTTAAAAAGCAACAGTTACCTTCAAATGCTCATTAACAAGTACGGAAAATCTGAAGTCTCAAATGTCAAACAAATCACAGTGAGAAAAACGCTTGTCTTCATTAAACTTCATTATAAAAGTGAAGATGTTACAGAGGTTGTCAGCAGAAGGTCGAGGATATTACTGGACAGAGTCTATCATGCAACTGGCTAAGTTAGTTCCCGTCTATCGGACAACATCCTCTTTGGTGTAACGATATGATGACAGCTATCCTTCTCATGTTAACTTCAACTATGTATACAAATTAGTATATATCTGCGGTGGCAATTACATTGGAGTTCGATTCTCTTCCAGTTTGCCGAAGCCATCTCTATCAACCTGATTTATGTTTTCGGAGAGAAGCAGTTATCTGTCTTTCTTTGCCGTTTGCGCTAACTGTATACTTTCGCTCTTTCTTTCATTTGATTACGTATTGTCGAAAGCTTTTGCATTGCGTATGATCATTATTGTTCAGAATGGTGTTTAACATTATATATATTATTACTGTATACATATATTGCTAGGTTGACTTTTGTTTAAGAGTGGAATCTGTGCAGGTATGTTCAAATTGTTTCTGTAGACAGATTTAATAATGAATTTTGCCTGTAAGCAGCAACACTCAAGATCAGATTGGTAATCAGATTAAGTCAGCAACAGAAACGGATCTATGGCAATGAGCGAACCAACCTTGATGGAACCGGTAAGGAAAAAAATATGCGGGAAGAAATGGAGGTAGATTGAAGGCAATACTCTGAGAAAACAAACCATCGAGTGACATCACACGCCAGACCGTCGCTCAAGGGGAACACAAACGGGAATTCGTTAGTTGGTTGTCAATGCGAGCGTAATATGGTGGAGGTCATATGAAGAGTATACGAGGAAAACATGTGTACAGATATGGAGTCAGGTGAAGGTGTTGGCGGTAAACCGAACGCAATGCAGACGTGCGCGTCTGAAACCCTATGTTCCTCTAGGAACTAAATGAAACAATAATAATAATAATAAAAGCTTAGTTAAAGAATAGAATGCAAGGATTGGTATCCTGTAATCAGACCAAAACACCTGAGATTTTCCTCCTGACACTAGTGGCTTTCAATTTTATAATTGTCTCCTCTTAGCTGCGTTTATTAATTTTGGAGTCTCCTGTTAACTTACATCATGTCACCTTTAAAAATACATTGACACTTCTCTGTACATAAACTGAAATGGTTTTCTAAGGTTGTACTCAACTGATCAGAAATTGATGAAATTGAACAAAAGGATGATGGGCAACTGACAACTTGCTTCGATCTTTTTAATTCAGAATAATAAGAATTACAAGAAGACCATCTATTGAAGGTGTCCAGTGTGATGATAAACGGCCAGCAGCTGCAAGTTCACCATCCAGTGTTGAATACAGTGAAAATGCTTACATGGTTAACATTTCAGTCTCGAGCGCTGACTTATGAAACGCCTGACTTACAATTCAAAAATCAATGGTTTCGATTCTTCAGTAACCCAGATTTTTATTTTATTTTTATTCGTCACCGAATTTATTGTCACCATAATTCTCATGGTTCCCAGGTGGAATATAAGGAATCGAAAACAACTTATAATTTCATACCCCTTTATAGGGGTCCTATTTGGCTGGCCCTGCAATTGCCGCAAAGCTCGTATGTTCTCCTCACACGGTTTCCTCCATATTAACCTCTGCCCAACATCCAGCTAGTGATTTCCTACGTGGATATCGCTTCGGAGTTTGCTTGCCTCACGCTGTCATCTGAGGGTTGCCTCGGCATGGATCTAATCTTTCTCAATTTCCTTCAGCATATTTGTTTGGTGACATGTTCTTGATCGGTCCTCTCACAGTGTTTCTGGTTGCTAATCCTTTCTGGCTGGCCGCCTTATCTTCACGATGGCTCCAGCGGAAGCAGCTGCTGGTAAATATCACGCATTAGATCAATAAAATAATTATCATTATTAGTTATTATTATTGTTTCCTTTAGGTCCTACAAAAATTTAGGGTTTCAGCCGCACGTCTCCATGTCTTGACACATGTTATCCTCTTCTACTCTTAACATAACCACCTCTATGTTACCCTCGCACTGATGACTAACTCGCCGCTTTCCATTCGGGTTCCATTCGAGAGATGGTCTGGCGTATCATGTCACTCACTTGATGGTGGTTTGTCTTCACCGCAATTTCTTTTTGCTTATTTGTTGCACACTCCGTTCCTACTGGGTTGGTTCGCCCATTGACAGAGATCCCTCTCTGTTTCTGATCATTTCTGGTCGGCCATCTGATTCTGAACAGATTATTGAGAAGAGTCATCAGTTGATGAAAGTGTATAGTTTGTTTGAAGTGCCCTTCGTTACGCGGCGCCAATCATCTGATTCATATAGTAGCACTGACTTCACATTAAAGTTGAAAACCTGGGACTTATTTTTCATGCTGAGTGCTGTTAATCTTCACACAGACTTGATAGAAATGAAAGTTAGCCTTGCCTTCCTAATTCTCGCAATTCAATCATCCAGCTCAGAGAAGACCAGTGTATTTCATGACCAGTAAGCATCAGCCATTTTGGCTGCAGCAAAAGCAATGAAGCGTTTGTCTACTTGGCCTTTTAACTCAGCTGGCAGATCACTGGACTGACATTTCAGAGACTTGTAGTTCATGTTCTAAGTCGATCGATGCTTTCATTTTGTCTTCAAACACATCAGATATTGTCATTCAATCGCCTGAAATACCTTCAAAATCGAAAGGAACAGATTTAGAATGTTGTCCACAAAACACTGTATTAACCCACTCCCTGAACTTGATCAATCTATATCCTGTCCATCAACGACTTTATACGAGAAGCATTTAGAAAAATACGCCGTTGATGATGGTGATAACAGTTTAATCCATGAGCTATCTGTTGAACTTATATCTCTTATTTCACTGAATGATGAACATTTATTACAAGAAATTCCTAGTTCTGTGTTGATTGAAGCAGCTTCACATTCTCCATAACTTTCACCGACTAGTGGGTCATGAGTAATTGGTTAAGAGTATAATGATAAATTGAAGCAAGCTATTACTAGTATATATAATAGCAGTCTCTATATAGTTGTTTTTGTCTTCACCAAGATATTGGTTCTTTTCATTGCACACTGCAATGGTTATTGATTTCTGTCAGCTGAGACACACACGCACATGGACACAAGCACATAAACACACACACAAACGCAAATGTAACGTATATATACATTATTCTGTTATAAAACATTTTCAGATTATTGGGTGTTTCACGGATTATGCTATACTTGAATAAGACGTCAGTTCTCTTCTGTTTTTCCAGCCCCATTTTTTGAGGGACGAGGGAGACGGGGGCCATAAATTTGTCTTATTCTTTTGTTGATTTCGCCATGAAGTGAAACCATTTAAGAGAATCATTACAAGATATTACAACTGAAAAGAAAACATAGTACGAATGAAGAGATAGAAAGAAGAATCTGGAATTCACCTGTCGAGTATTTCACAGGTGGGCACCTCTTTATACCAAACGAAACCTGATTTGTTCACTCAGCTACAGAGTTCGCAGAATCTGCACCTCGGATATCATTACAAACGAGATGGTCTTCCTCGACAAAGGTTATCCCGAAAGAATAATTGTGAAATCCATGATTCATAGACCGCAAAAGCCGTCCATGCTTATAGTCACGAAAAACTCCTCCACCTGAACCTTCAACTCAATGAAGATTCATCTACGCAAACACTGAAAAGTCGCCTGTCCGGTTCATCTAGGAAAACCCTTATCACAGGTAAACTACGGTTAAACTTCTCCACGAAACCTATGACTCGTATACACGTGAAGAATTAACTAAAACTGCTGACCTCATGAATGTGATTCTACCAAACCAACTAGGCGTATGGAGCCAGAAATGTCGACCGCACACAGATAAACTCGGCAGAATAGTACAAAGTAAGAAATGGTTCAGCAAAAACAACGGTTCACAAAGTACTCTCATTGGGTCATGAGTTCAACTGCCTGACTAAACAAATCGAGGTGAAACCACATACACTCAGTTCATTAAACAAGAGGGCTAGGCACCTTAGGCATGGATGATTGGGTTGAAACAACGCAAGCATGATCCAGGACAGGTTGACTTGTTTCAAGGATGGGAATTGAATTGATCTCACACTAGAGCTTCAAAATCCATGAGAAGTCAGTCATCAAAAACATTCACCCTAGATGTTTCCAGGTTCTTCTTTGATGACCACTGACCAACCATCAACAAGACATTTCACATTATGTCGGTAATTCGAATGTTACAATGGGGTTTGTGCTACTTTTACAGTTGTAAATATAAGTGGAATATAGATGGAAGTATTCTGAATATTTCCTGGAATAATGTTAACTACTCTTGAGTAGCCGCGGCCTATTGTTGATTTTGTACTTAAAAATGCCAAAGCACACCCACACGTTGTAATACAAAGTGATCATAGAGACTATAGTATATGTGTATACATTAAATTCCGTTAGTGCATAGTTTATGCCGGAACTACACGTTTTACATTCATACTACTCATTCAAGTTTTAGGCAGTATAACGAATGACAGGCATTTCATAGTTATCATCACGACGCATTTTGAAAGGAAAATGAAATATTCCGCCTCGACCTGATATGAAATTATCGAGAAATTCTTTTAAAATACGGTGATGATAACGTGACATTTTGGTTGGAATGTTGTTAGAAATCACTATGTCTATTTTGTAATTAAACTGAAGAAATATGTGATCGCATTATGGACAAGATTTGAAGCTCAGTTGAATGTCATTGAGTTGGTTGTGTTCTCTCAGCTGGTTGATTTAATTGTGAAGCTTTCGTCATCCCCCTTGTAGACAACATCTTCACAGCATGTTTTAGCGTGAAATGAACTTATTTGATTCTTCATGACTGATGTAATTCTTCTGCTCCTCGCGACCACCGTCGTGACCGGCTGTTAGTTTACGTCTGTGTTGGTAGTTTTCATTGACTAAGAATTCGAATTTTCTTGTCATGAGATTTACTTTTTGTCAGCTGGCGGCGAATTTGGTCTGTAGTAAAATGTGTTTGCTAATTGCTAGCTGATTGATTAGAGTAGCAGACTTCCAGGAATTCCCTGGCAGTATTTTTGGTCTTTCCTCTATTTAAAAATTCTACATAATCCTGATCATCGCATTGGTGTCCATAATTATCTGCATTCAGTGATATGAAAGAATACGTGCATCATGTCTTTTTACAGCTAATTTGTTTTCTTGTATTTGGATTTGAAGAGGACGCCAACTCTGACCGACGATGTTATGTTTATTGCAGTTCATGCAGTTTACTTTGTGAAAGGTGTCAATTTTATCTTCTTTCTCTGTTGAATGTTTCAGTTTGCACAATATCGGATAAATTGTGCTGGCTGGCTGCCTTGTGTGTACGGTTTTATTATTCAAGCTGTTATTTCATAGATATTTTTTATAAATAGTGTATTGAATTTACTTGTGGTCTTTGGTGATTTTTCTCGTGGGTGTTATGACTCGAGTTTAAACACCTTTCGATGAAACTGTGAAGATATCTATTCTACATTCCCTTCAACACAGAAGTGCTCCAGCGTCTTTCAGCTCTTTAAAAGAAACATCTGTCATCAACTGAGATTAAAACATAATCAGCTGATAAAATAGTTTCTCTTGAGATAGACTTCAGAATGAACCACTGAGAATTAGCTGATATCACTCTGACTTTTATATCAGGGTATAAATCCAAGCAAACCGTCCACAAGTAGAAATAAAACAAATGATCCTTTATTGCTGATACAACCCTCTAAATCGAGTAGAGTTGTGATGCCCAGTCAGCACTTTTACATGCATAACAGAAGTTAGTGTTCAATAGAGACCAGTTATGAGATTGATTTGAGGGAAATGCCTAGTAGAGCTAAAGACTCTATATACAGTCAGTCCATCCATCCATAAGGCGTAAATTTTCTGAATATCATTTAATGACGAAAGCTTTTCTTGGAAGCTAGCTGATTATAGAGAGGTCACATTTGAATAGTGTTACACTCACTTATAACTCTTATTCACGAGCAAATGACTATGAGGTGAACATCTTGTGATAGTTCAGAAATATTACTAGACAACAAAGCTCAATTCACCGTACGCTTGCAAAGGCGATCTCTATCAAATGCCTGAAACACAATTTATGTGTTCAGAAATAAGCAGTTGGCATCAGTCTTTCGTTGCCCTAACTGCTAATTGGATATTTTCGTCCTCTCTTTCATCTGATTACGCGATCCCAGAAGTTTCCATTGTGTATGATGATCATTTTTTGGGATGAACTGTTTATATTACCAGCGTTGTATGCATATGTTGATTGATTTTTGATTAAAAATGAATTCTGCGCAAGTATGCTTAAATTGTCACTTAGATATACAAAATAGCGTCTTTGGGCTGTAAGCAGCTGAACTGATGAGAAGCCAACGAAATCAACGATGAAGATCTCATTTTATTCTACAATAACTACTGATGTTCTGGCTTTATTCAGATAATAATAGTTATGTTGACCATTTCTGGCAAGGACTATTGGCTACAGTCACTTCAGATGATGACGCTTCACAAGCTTTTGTACGGTTACATGAATTCCGGAAGAATGTGGTGTTTATTATAATAAAATTATCCCGATGAGGATTGTGTCAACCTACATGAAGGGCTAGTTGCTCAGCTCCTTTATTTCAAATATTTGGTTGTCATCTTGAATTCTGCATTAAAATCAGGAATTATGAAACGACAAAAGACAAGGGTTAGGCAACAGATAGTCTATTGAGAAAATCCACAGATATTTATAGACTTTTATGTAAATTAATAATAACTAGAGAAACATTGAAAACCAGGGAGTACTGGACAGCTGCTGTTTCATCCTAGTTTGGGAATCATCGTCAGTACGCACCCACTGAGATTCGAACCCGGGACCTTCCGGTTACAAGGCAAGCTCGTATACCATTCAGCCACTGGGACCCGATTCAATGGCTCGTGAATTCTAACTTCTACTAATTCGTGATTTAGCGCGACCCCAACCATTGTCGTTGGTGGGACATCCATCCACACACGTGACATCTAATTGGACCTCACTGGTCACGACTTCTCACTAGAACTCAGGAAACTCCAACCTGTAGCAAGTCACTAGCGAGCATCAGATTAACTTTCTATAGTTTGGTTTGTAAGGATTAGTTATGTTTTACGGGTTGATCACGGATTGATATCAGTTAGAGAACCATTGAAAACCAGGGAGTACTGGACAGCTGCTGTTTCATCCTAGTTTGGGAATCATCGTCAGTACGCACCCACTGGGATTCGAACCCGGGACCTTCCGGTTACAAGGCAAGCTCGTATACCATTCAGCCACTGGGACCCGATTCAATGGCTCGTGAATTCTAACTTCTACTAATTCGTGATTTAGCGCGACCCCAACCATTGTCGTTGGTGGGACATCCATCCACACACGTGACATCTAATTGGACCTCACTGGTCACGACTTCTCACTAGAACTCAGGAAACTCCAACCTGTAGCAAGTCACTAGCGAGCATCAGATTAACTTTCTATAGTTTGGTTTGTAAGGATTAGTTATGTTTTACGGGTTGATCACGGATTGATATCAGTTAGAGAACCATTGAAAACCAGGGAGTACTGGACAGCTGCTGTTTCATCCTAGTTTGGGAATCATCGTCAGTACGCACCCACTGGGATTCGAACCCGGGACCTTCCGGTTACAAGGCAAGCTCGTATACCATTCAGCCACTGGGACCCGATTCAATGGCTCGTGAATTCTAACTTCTACTAATTCGTGATTTAGCGCGACCCCAACCATTGTCGTTGGTGGGACATCCATCCACACACGTGACATCTAATTGGACCTCACTGGTCACGACTTCTCACTAGAACTCAGGAAACTCCAACCTGTAGCAAGTCACTAGCGAGCATCAGATTAACTTTCTATAGTTTGGTTTGTAAGGATTAGTTATGTTTTACGGGTTGATCACGGATTGATATCAGTTAGAGAACCATTGAAAACCAGGGAGTACTGGACAGCTGCTGTTTCATCCTAGTTTGGGAATCATCGTCAGTACGCACCCACTGGGATTCGAACCCGGGACCTTCCGGTTACAAGGCAAGCTCGTATACCATTCAGCCACTGGGACCCGATTCAATGGCTCGTGAATTCTAACTTCTACTAATTCGTGATTTAGCGCGACCCCAACCATTGTCGTTGGTGGGACATCCATCCACACACGTGACATCTAATTGGACCTCACTGGTCACGACTTCTCACTAGAACTCAGGAAACTCCAACCTGTAGCAAGTCACTAGCGAGCATCAGATTAACTTTCTATAGTTTGGTTTGTAAGGATTAGTTATGTTTTACGGGTTGATCACGGATTGATATCAGTTAGAGAACCATTGAAAACCAGGGAGTACTGGACAGCTGCTGTTTCATCCTAGTTTGGGAATCATCGTCAGTACGCACCCACTGGGATTCGAACCCGGGACCTTCCGGTTACAAGGCAAGCTCGTATACCATTCAGCCACTGGGACCCGATTCAATGGCTCGTGAATTCTAACTTCTACTAATTCGTGATTTAGCGCGACCCCAACCATTGTCGTTGGTGGGACATCCATCCACACACGTGACATCTAATTGGACCTCACTGGTCACGACTTCTCACTAGAACTCAGGAAACTCCAACCTGTAGCAAGTCACTAGCGAGCATCAGATTAACTTTCTATAGTTTGGTTTGTAAGGATTAGTTATGTTTTACGGGTTGATCACGGATTGATATCAGTTAGAGAACCATTGAAAACCAGGGAGTACTGGACAGCTGCTGTTTCATCCTAGTTTGGG